GGATAAGTTAATGTATACTTTACTGATCTACCACTGGAATAAAACTGACAGTGTGTTTTCAATATCTTTTGTAGCCAAATTACACAAAACATGCGAATACAAACACGAACATGACTATAAACACACCCACCCACACACATACACACACACACACACACACACACACACACACACACACACACACACACACACGCACACACACACACCTCCATTTCTATTATCGCTTAATCTTACAGAAACATAGCAGTGTATTCGAAGAGAAATTATTAAGATACCGTTCAAATATGATTCTCAATCATCAATTTATCTCTGTCTATCTATATTATTAGGTATGTTACTGTCAGTTTGTGGGTCAGCTTGTCTCTCCTTTTTAGCTTCACCCGTGATTACCAACATTGAATTCTTTTGTTATAATTACTCTTCGTATTATCTAATCACTCTCGTAACTAGGTGACAAACATCAAATAGCACGTATCCCCTGTATTACAGTGGGTGTTCCAAATCAAACAATGCACTGCACGTAATAGGGTCCTAGATCTATAGTAATCCATACTGAACAGACGGATTCTCCCCTTAGCATTATAGTGTGCTGTTCGCTTCTTGGCACATATACAGGGCAATCATGTACCTTACAATTTATAGCGCATTATATTATATTATGATTGAACAGCCTCTAACCTCACTTAATTTCAAAATTAGACACTGTTACACTCCCTATACTTAACAGTCACACTTATGTTTTTGCAGATCGAAGACTTGCTCAGTAGACTGCACGTGAAGTTGAGTCTTACCCATTAAAGGTTTTGAAGAAATGCGGGAACAAGAGTTTGAGTGTGAGATAACCCTTGTAGTTAATTTCAAGACAGTGCCGACTGTTGACAGAACTCCTCAGCTCAATCCCCATTAGCAGACTGATTAAACTTCCCTAGAGAGAGAAATTATGACGTCATCTAAACAAGGTAATCGCAAAGTAATACAATCCTGATTTTTTAAACAAGTGAGTAGATATCAACCGGAAATAAGTTGTTTGTCTGCGTAATTTGAAAGGACGTTGGTGGGCTTTCAACGCGAATAGGCCAGTTTGTACTCCAGCTTAGTTATTGCCATCTAGGTAGGAAAAGATGATCTTGTCACATTTGACGTCAGCACCGAAAGGATATCTCATCTTCTCCGTGATCTTGACTCTCAGAGGTAAGTGCGTTAGTAAAGATAAAATATGAGGCCTCTAATTTGAACCCCTTCAACTTTAATGTCCCGTGTAATGTGTAAGTTTCTTTCTCAGGAGGTTTTTTAAAATGATCATATTATTATTATACTGAAGCCCTGTTGTTTCTCATAAATAGACCTTTGTTCTAATCCCCCTCCTTTAAAAGCAACATAAATATACTAGAATCTACACTATACATTAGATTTGTATATTATATATTCACACTGAGTACCTTGGGTTTCATGTTCAAGTTCGTAGCCACGAATGTTTGAGAAACCATAATGCGAAAAATAGCATGTTTAGCTAAATCATTCAACAGCTTTACTTGGGGTGAGGGAGGGGGGGGGGGGGGGATTACGATTTTCGGTGATACAGATGATGTTTAATGTTTGAGATTATGAAAAGAAGATGGTGATATTTGGGACATGTTTTGAGGATGCCAGAGACATGATTGCCCAATCAGATATGGTGCTTGAGACAAAATGAAAAAAAAGAAAAAGAAGAAGATCAACTGGTGGCTTTAGGAGTACGATCAGAGATTAGGTAATCACCTAGGGGCTGGAAGTGACAACGCTGAGGGAGTGGCCAAGGACAGACAAGTGTGACGTCGACTGCCCTCTGCCTTGTGACTTGTGAACCTGGCAGAACAGGGAGAGAGTCAGTAAGTAAGTAAAATGTTTGTATGGTGTTTCGTGCTGATGGGGGTCCAATCTTTGGGTTCTCGTTGTGCTTTCGGGTACTTTGTTCATTTTTTTCCTATTAAACATCTATCATTCTTGTCTGTCTGTCCTCTTCTTTTTATTTGTGTGTTACTGTTTAGTAACAGCGCTATCTTTGGCACCTATATGACCTATTTGTGTTGTAAGTGCCGTGAAACTCTTATTAAAACTTTAAAAAATTATGTTGTACTGTCCAGCATGGTGATTTTCAGTTTCCTATTCACTAAAGTCGCGTTTTTACTTCCCTCCCCAGTCCCTGATGCAGTGGTAAGTCACTTTTTACTTTCATCTGTTATATTTTTGTTATAAGATTTATTAGTTTATATCACCTTTTGCTACACTTAACAAATTCGCCAAGAATGGTTTGGTCGGCCAAGGTAGATTTTAGAAACTTTTAAGCAAAAATTTGTAATGCTCAAACATATCAGTGATAACAAATGGCTCTTAAGGACTAAAGTGCGGTAAAAAAATTCGTGGGGCAACCTGCTGTCAAGTATTTCTTCAACTATCGAACATAAACTCCCCAGTGTTTTGCGCAATGACTTGAATCAATTTGTCTTAACAGATCAAATTTTGTTAAACATCTGGTAACTGTATGCTAAAAAAAAAATCTTCAATAAATACTAACAGAAAATCCAACTTGATGGTTTCTGCAGATTTTAAGTATTCTCTCTAAAATTAAGTTTTTGTAGCATGTTTTCAACCAAAAGATGCTATTAGTGAGCTGTGACGTAGGCCACCTACATAAGAGTATGAAAATGCGTGTCACGGAATTTTTACTTTTGACCGCAATATAGCTGTGAAATTCCCCCCAGCCTTAGTCAACAGCTTCTCAGTCAATTTCTTCTCTCCGAACTACTTCCCCTGTTTGCCTACATTGACCTCACACACGACCACGTCCTCTTTTACCGCCACCCGGCCCTCCCTCAGCTCTTTGTGGATGTACTTGGCTGAGGAAACTGTACCAAATACTCAGTGCACACAGGGTGGTTGGTGGGTGCCCTAGTGTGGTTTGGCTTTTCTTTCTTTCTTTCCAATCAAGCGTCTGTCGTCCTTATATCTCCTTTCTTTTTATATTTGTTAACCTCTTGTAACACTTCTGATCTTCGGCATTAATAGGACCCAATTGTATTGCCAGTGCCGTAAAGCAACAGTGCACTCTGGCCGTTTGATTCCTTTGGTTGTGTCGGGGGGTCAAGCAGATTGTCCTTCGTGGATGGTGCAAAAGGTTACATTTTGGTGCAATATAACCGAATTCAACTTAATTCGACTATGACCTCTAGAATCAAACACGTTTATTTTTTAAAGGTCGCGAGTCGAATTAATCTTTGCGCTAGAATGGTAGCTTTTGCCCCCCCCCCCCCCCCCCCCCCCAACCTTGGGATACGGAATACTGCATTTTTTCTGCCTTGTCTTTGTTCTCTCTTTCCTTCTGCTCCTAGTGGGCGTTCTGAACTTGGGTTGTTTTGGGTGAGCTTCTACGGAATTCCATCCATTTGGCCTGATTCTATCGGAGATGGACTTTAAATTTGGATGTTTTTGCCTCTTAAATAAACTTTGTGTTGAAGCAGAAATTGAACCAACCTACTGTCCCAGCCTCGATAACCGCAAGAAAGCAATTAATAACTTCTCCAATTATGCGCGGAACTGCACCAAATTTGATAGGAATTGTATTTTATCACCCGGACACCATAGTCTATGCTCAAATGTGAACTGGCTAGACAAGCACTGATGCATCAGCCATATCTTGGAGTAACTATGAAAAGTTCTTTTACATGAAAAATTACGCTGAGTTCAAGTCCGAACTGACGTTTCAAGGCTTTTATTGGACAAAGTAAAGGTTGATTCTTGATCTAGATCTAGTGTACCGCCTGAAAGAGAAATTTGGAGGTGATACGAACAGTTCACGGTGAGAGGATGTCTGTCAGAAGGCCAATAAGGAAGGGGGTAAGAATTAATTAAAACGAGGAAGCCGTTCGCACGTCGGTCGCGACAATGCCAAAGAAGTCTGTTTGTTGACGTAGGAATAAACTAGGCTTGTCAAAGTCGTCAACTTACAGAATCTTAAAGCATGGTTTGAAAATGAAGCCATATCACATTTTTTTTGCCCACCAAGGAATAAACTCAAACAACGAAATCTTTGGAGAGAAAAACAATGAGTGCTTGGGTTTTGTAGACAGGTGAGACAGAGAGAGAACTTTGAACGGTCTGTTCGTTTTAAGTGACGTGGCTCATTTCTACGGGCCTAGAGAAGTTAATTCTGGAAATTGTGTGCGCTGGGATACAGAAAGACCAGATGATGTGAATGAAAGGAAATAAAACAACCGAGGCAATTGTCTTGTAAGCGCTACCACGCCGCAGCAGTGTCAAATAGATGCACATTTTCAGTCAATAACATGGAAATGCATTGCACGTGATGGGGGCCAAATGGGGTATCTTTTGTTAAGCTAACACTTCTAAAGCAGGTTCCTTTTTCATGAAATAAATGGTATAACTGTCTGTCCGGATGGTTCCGTTCCTTTCTGTCAAAGGTTTTTGCTGTATTTAAAGAATGTTTTTTTTTTCCAACTTTTTTTTGGTGGTGGTAATCGAGTTTGGGATACGCTATAATATACAATGGCAACGGCACTGTCAACGATTTACCCAACGTTCATTGTACTGACCGTTTGTTCTTATGAGAGTCCAAAATGAAAATGCTACAAGGAATACATGTGGGTGGTTGGCAGGCGCTCTGGTATGGTTTGCTCCTTCTTTACTCTCAAACATATGTCGTCCTTATATATGTCTCCTCTTTCTTTTCCTTGTATGTTACACACTTGTAACACCTGTAATCTTCAGCACTTATATGACCTTTTTATGTTGTAAGTGCAGTAACTCTTACTAAAAAGAAGAATATATAGGTTAAAGAGCAAACATGATTATGATGGATGCGAGTATAATCGAGGTAGTGACGGTAACATCCACTCAACACAACAAATAAACTTTAACAGATTTATGGCGATTTTGTCTGATGTGAAGACGATTTGACGTGTGCTTTCTCGTTAGTGTCATGGAGCTATTTTATTCTATTATATTTAATTTTCTTTGTTTATTTACTCAGAGGTCTAAATCTTAGTATTTTGGAAAGCAAGATCTTTTATACTTTATCAGAAACCATAGTCAGGTTTTTTTCTCTCCATTTATTCGTGCTCTAGTCTATATTCTGAATATATATGTTCTTTTAGCCTGATTGTTAAAATTAAGAAGAGGGAGGAAGAAAGTTCTAACATGAGTTGAGGCACAAAGAGCTAACATTAGTCAAACATAATAATATGATGAATGACAAATGCTTTGTACGCACACCTGTAAGTCGTTGCAAAACTAAAAGCTAAAGTCTTAACGAAACATGCCAAAGTGAAGGGAGTATCTCAACAAATCTACTTTTTGTTATTAAATTATGCCATTCCCCAGAAGAAATGTGACTGGAAAAGAATTGAAGAAAAAGGAAGAGGGGGCAAAGGTTGAGGTTGACATGTAAGTTGGCCTTGAATGTCCCGAATCAGTATTGGAGCATGTTGCTTTAAAAAAATATCTATTTTTTTAAAATCCATTGCCCATTCATATGAGATTGACGCCATTTGATTAGTAGGAAAAAAGTGCGTATGATGGTGTCCAATCTTGTATTACGTGCATACCTAGTATGACAAGTAACTCTTACAGATAGAGATTCAAGGATTATAGATGTAAGTCATTGATCTGAGAGCAATGATGATTTTAGAAATAATGGTGGTGATGAGTGAAGATGTGAGATTGCATTTCATTTAAGTAATGTTAGCGTTAGTCCTGTCTTCATCTGCTCCAGTGAGTCACGTGGGACGTGGGCATCCTGTATCCCGTACCGTACTGGAACCATCTTTACGGCCACCGTGAAGTTCCGAGCATGGCTGCTAATACATTATGTTTGAAGAATTGTTCTTGCTTGTATATCATGAATGAAGGTTAATTCTGCAATATGTCTTGATTATCCTCTAGTTAATTTTTGTCCCCAAAGTACACGTTTGATTTCTTTAAACATAACAACCCAAAACAAAACAAAATAAAATAAAACAAAATAAAACGGAGACTCAGCGAACCAAATGAACCGACATACCACAAATGTACACGAACTACATTCACATGGCTGGGATTTTTTCCTACTTTCCCCAGGCTGCTTATTGCCATCCGAAATTCCGCCAAAGTGTCCAGATCCCCGCAGGGCACACACATACAGCCTGCCTGGACAAGTCTCCAGTAGCAAGATCGAGGGGTTGGTATTTAACCGCCCCTTAGAGCTTTTTTTTCAGAAATGCTATTTCATTTAATTCTACTAATGGTTTTTAAAAAATAATCTTCCACATGCCTTTTTACAACAGACATCGGCGAGCGATTAACTCAGTATGTGTCATGCTAGACTATAACACTGAGGGCTCTGGTTTGAGTCCCAACATGCCGTTCTTGAAAATAATTATTTGGAGAGTTTTCAAGGCTCTCCACTCACAGGGCTAGGTCCGCTGGTGGGCATGAGTATATGGGTATGCATAAATGTGCAATTGCATGTGCTCCTGAGTGTATATTTGTGTCTACGTGTATGTGGGTACATTCACCAGTCAATGTCTTAGAAAGATGGTATTGTACAACTGCTCAGGGTCGATAATTTTATCTAGGATTGTGTAAATATCGCAAGTAGTTTTCTAAACTGGATATTTTGACCTGTCAATTACTTTGTTTTGTAAAGTGCATTCAGACACCCCCCTCCCTTTCCCCTCTACCACATTATTCTTCCTCAGTACCCACAGAGGCGGAGAAGAAGGAAATTGTGGACTTGCATAATCAGCTGAGAGCTCGAGTTCAGCCCCCTGCAACAAACATGTTGAAATTGGTGAGACATTATTTCGTGTGTGTTGTCTTCATTTTCGTGTACTGCCTTACGACACACTAAATATTGTCGGTTCCGAAATGATCAAAGTTGTGTTGGCTAGAAGGGGAAGACGAAGATATTAAAATTTAGATATTCACCACAAAAAAAGAGATTTAAGAACACCGAGCACGTTGTCTCACAACTGGGCAAAGAGAACGTATGGGTGCCAGGTAAGGCAATAAAATTATGATCATCCTCGGAAATGAACCCTAGCGGTTCACATTCGGGTTCAGACGGGGACGGATATCCCGTTGTTGTTGTCATAATTAATTCGAACGAGATGCCAAGTCAACAAGGCTACCGAAAAATCAGTAAATAGACCAGCCAACCAGACAGTCAGACAGCAGAACGGTCAACAAGCAAACATACCGCAAGCCAGCTCTGCTATTCCGCTTTGCGCTCACCCGTCCGGCCTTGTGTGTAAAGAGCAAGTATCATCGTCAATAAATCAATCAAATCTTCTTTTAAAAAGACAGTTTGCATATAAAAGGTATACATTCAAGTTATCCGGGGGGGGGGGGGGGGTTCACCTCTCTTACAGATACTCATGTGCAGCCATTCTCTGCTATTTACAGCAGTACCCCTCCCCTCATTATATTATTATCTTACCTGACTTCAATCCCGATTCTTCGCAATTTAATTTTTTCTTGTCTCCCCTGTTTGTTTGCTGGTTTATTTCGTTTCTTATTTCTTCTGCTGTTTGCGCAATAGATTATGTGTAGCTCTACGTGCTCTGCTTCGTTCACTTTTTTCTGTACTAGTACTTTCCTCACGTTTTCCTTGCTTAATGTGATTGACATCATATTGAGTTCTTGAAAAGTATCTCTCAGTGACGATATCATTACGTGATCGTTCAACCATTGAAGCTGCAAGAAGTCAGACCACAGGAGAAAGTCTCAAAAATGTTGTATTGAAAGCAACTTCAACACAAACCATTAAGGTAAATATAGGGTAGAATTGTATGGGGATACACATTGCGAAAATACTGCTGTACGGTGTACTTTTTTTCTCTCATCATTTGTTTTTTCTGTCTGTGTCATCTCGGCGGTTTCCATTACTCTAAATGACTATTATCGCGTCAATCGACATACTTCTTTCAAACACTAATAAACGTGTAAGAATTCAGCCGGATATAACGCGTGTGTTTACAGTCCTGGGATGATGAACTTGCCATGCTGGCACAGAAGTGGGCGGAGGCATGCGACAAAGAGGATGGCGAATTACACCATGACACCTACAGGAGTATCCCAGGTAAGGAGCGCTCGAAGAGCTACCTAATTTTACGAGGTATGCACACGGTACGATAGATCGAAGCTGCAAAGAATAACATGAACCACTATGATGTTCGACATCGAAACTCTGGAAAGATAAGGGACATTATTTTTAAACAGGTTGTCAGCGCAGTCTGACATTGCAACTCACTATCGCAGCTTTTCACCACAGGTGCAAGAGAATCAAGTGTAGTCCATTTGAGAAAATGGGCTTTTTCTTAAAATATCCAAAGCGATATGAAGCCTGGACCGGTTGAGTGCTCCTTCGATTTTGATGAAAACGCATGAAACCCAACTCCCCCCTCCCCCCTCCCCCCACACGCACCCACACAGACACACATACACACTAACACACAACACGGACACTTAGTATTTTGTAGTGAAAAGGGTTTAAACTTTAACTTGAGAAAGAAACTTCTACTTTTCCCAGGTCGTTTTTCGGTGGGTCAGAACCTAATGATGGGCGGCAAAAACTTTAAAGGAGGGATCAATGGGTGGTACATTGAGCACAAGGACTACACGTATGGCGAAAAGACAGGGCCCGCGGAGTTTGCCCGTGCTTTGATTGGACACTACACACAGGTACATTTTAATGCCATGCTTCGTTCTGGTTCAAATTGTCCTCAATGTCGTTTTGCTGCTGATATTCGTTTGAACTGCTGCTGCTGCTGCTGCTGCTGCTGCTGCTGCTAATGATGTTGATGATGATGGTGATGATGATGATGATGATGATGATGATCTGTTGTTGATGGTTTCATTTTTGGGATAAATCAATCATGATTGTTATGGTTCTTGTACTAAGTATTTTGGTTGTCATTATTGTTGTTTCTGTGGTTAGAGGGCAGGCCCTACTTCTTTACTTTCCCTCTTTTGTTTCTGTCTGATTTTTTTACTTTTTCACAGCGCTAAATGACACGTATTGTGTTGATGTGCTTCTCTTTACTAACAGAAACGACATAGAGCTGCATTTAGTAGTTTTTGTCCATCTTTTCATCATTTGGTGGTCTTCTCTCGTTTTGATTTCCCCATGTAACTAGAATATTTATTTTTAGCATCTTGTCGATGCTATCAAGTTTGCTGTTTTGCCATAAGTTCGATTGTTCTTCCGATCGGCCTTCAAGAGACTTTCGAAGACTGATTTATTAGTGAAAAGGGAAAAACCGAACGTTGATAGGTTCTGTATCTCTTACTAACGCTTTAGTTGTCTTAAATATTTCCACGACTTCCCTCTTTCTCTCCCTCCTCCCACCTATCATCATCATCATCATCATCATCATCATCATCATCATCATCATCATCATCATCATCATCATCATCAGCAGCAGCAGCAGCAGCAGCATCGTCCCTTCCTTCAGGACATGACCTACGAAAATTAGAAATTGAATCAACAAGATTAGTTACAACACCACCGAATCATCGTCCCCATCTTTGACAACAACAGTTGCAACTTTCTTCATATTCGTGTATCTTTCTTTCAAACCCTCCCCTAAAAACAACCCCCTTTTTTCTGCCCCCCCCCCCCAAAACAACAACAACAACAACAACCCATCAAAAAAACTCACACCTTTTCCCTTCCACCTCTGTGCCCTCTCTGAAATGACAGTTAGCATGGGCCCGAACCTACAAGATCGGATGTGGTGCCGCGGATTGTGATGGTAGAAGTTTCTTCGTTTGCAACTACGGTCCAGCGTGAGTTCCCGATAACGTAACACGGGTGGTTGGAGTGCGCGACTCTATAAACAGGTCCTACTTCTTTACTTTCCCTCTGTTGTCTCTGCCTGTCTTCCTTACATTTTGCCAGCACTAAAATTGAATGGCCAGTGTTGTGTCGGTGTTCTTCTCTTAACTTTAACAAACAAACAAGAACATAATATGGCCTTAGAAGTGTGCATACGCTGTCTGAAATGTTTGACTTGCATTCTTCTAGATCTCTATATCAGTCAGCGTTTCATTCCGATCAGCAAGCGACAGAATCGGTGGTCACAGACTCTTCACTAATACGGGGTGCCCATAGGGGGATCGGGTCTGGTCAGGGCGGTTTGTTAGCCAGATTGAGGGCGCTAAGCGATTACCGTGGCACAAACCGATCGTGCCCGACTCGCCGACTCAAAAACAAACGCATTTGTTTTCAGGCAACCAGTGGGGCGATCGGCCCTTACCCGACCCAACCCGACCGGACCCGACCCGATCCCATCTTCCACGGGCACCCGTGTATAACAAGCAGTTCTCAAGCAGGTGTGAAAGTACGGTTTAGAGCAAGATGATGAGTTGTTGTTTTGTGCCCGTTTGCATATAGTATATTATGTGGCTAAAATGAAGACTGCGTAACCCTAAACCTAACCCTAAACCGAACCCCAAACCTAACCCTAGAAGCATGATCTCTCTAAAATTGTAGTCAGTAAGCTCGTCCATACTACTGTCATACTGGATGGGTCATTCATGAATGAGAAAGCAAAACAGTGTTCCGCTCGCAAAAATATGGGGGTAACTTTCACACCCATAGTAACCTCTGTTTCATTTGTCCTATACGCCTATACGATCTCTCACATGGATTTTCTGCCCTGGCCATGCAGGTGTTAGGGGAATTGAAAAAGCCAACAGCTGGTGAGGCCACCTCAGTTGACAGCACTGTTCAACCAGATAGGGTCGAAATTCTGAAATGTTTCTCTGGCCAGCTGATTGAAGAGGAAGATAGGGAGGCAAAGGCTACTGCCGTGGATAGGTTGCTTTTGGGAATACAAAAAGGAAGCGGAAAATCTGATATCCTTGCAGGAAAGAACAGAAGAACGTTCAACCAGATATGTACTGGCACAATCAGTGGAAAGACCCTCAGCGACATTTTGGAGAGAGCAACGGAGCATCAATGGACATGTCCGGAGTGCAGGGATGTTGCTTCCTGAAACAATGAACAATGAACAATGTTCATTTCTCCGCCAAGAGTGCAGACTGCAGGTGGAATAGAGCGACAATTCTTATTACTGGCTTTTATACAAACGATATTACTACTTGGTATCACTAATTTTTTTCAATCGTTTAAGTAAATAGTAAAGCCAAAGATGACAGAAAAAAACCCACAACAAAAACACGCAAAAACCTAAGTACTCAAAGCAATTCGATTTGCTACCTGTGAAAACGCCCAAAGCGAGTTATCACTTTGGCAGACGGCACTCAAACCGGGTGGGCCTTTTCTAATATAGGAACATACAAGTACAAAAATCATGAACAAAGACAAGTCCCTTTCTTTCTACATAGTCATAATCTCTTATCTTTATCGGTATCAGCACAATTTTCCCGGTGACTGATAACACAACCTATTTCCCGTTTTTATTATATTTGTGTAATTTTCCTTTTAATGCCTTTTCTTTTGATTGAGATATCCATCTCCAGTCAGAAATAATAGTTAAATTTTGTCATAAAATTTATGGTCTTTTTATACCCAACAATTTCCTTTTATTGAGCACCTTTGTGTTTACTGAAGGCCAATAATACGACACATTTCAACTTAGTGGTACTTATTAAGTGATAAGGAAAAACTCGTAGCTATAAGCCTACAATAAAAATGTAATAAAGGGCTTACACTTTCAAGGTTGTAAAAATCCCAGAGCGATAAATATACTGTAAAAGTATATATATCTTACACCTCTGTGATCGTAAAACCCCCAGAGGTATACTTTGTATCCTTAGGGGTATATTTTGTGTCCTTCAATATTATATATCGCGCCTGAAATATCTTTGTGGGAAAGAAAGAAATATCTTGGAGTTAAAACAAGTTTCGAAACGAAAAATGGAAACCCCTGTGTCACTCTGTACTATTGAAAGTGAAGATAATGGAAAGAAGGGGGGGGGGGGGGTACGGTAGAGAATTTAAAAGATTTTACAGGATACTGAGTCGTAGGTGGGGTATTAATTAAATGCCTGTGAACTGATATGGGGCCCTGAAAGAAGTGTAGGGGGTGAGATGGGGGGCTCGTAACCAGTACCAATCGATTCCTAATATATACAGTAAAAATGTAGGCCTAATGTTGTTTGTGTGTGTGTGTGTGTGTGTGTGTGTGTGTGTGTGTGTGTGTGTGTGTGTGTGTGTGTGTGTGTGTGTGTGTGTGTGTGTGTGTGTGTGTGTGTGTGTGTGTGTGTGTGTGTGTGTGTGTGTGTGTGTGTGTGTGTGTGTGTGTGTGGCGGAAGGGGGGGGGGATTTGTTCGGGAGCCCATTTGTTATTTGCGACCACAAATCCAAATACCGTTTTAAAGAAATGGGTTCAGCTACAGAAATTGAGCTTTGGTATGGACTTGGCTACAAAGTTCGGGAAATTAATGTTCTATTCTGAATGAGCTATAAATTGTTATCCTCTTTTTGAAATAGTGTTCTCCAAGCCCAGTGTTCTGACTTCGGAGTACTTACCTTTGTTTGCCCATTCATCGTGTCAATGGGGCTCTCGTGGCCTAGAAGTTAAGGTGTTCGCCTCTCATTCAATAGGTCCCAGGTTTGAATCCGGATAGCGACTGAACATTTTCTTCTTTAAAATGTTCTTTCTTCTTTCACCTCTTTTCCTGCTCTCTAACAATGTTCTGATGTCTGCTTCTGTCTCCACGCTCAGTCCCTACCATCTCACTTCCTTTGCCTCTCCTCTGGGCTCCTGATTCTTTCTGCAGCCTTTCTCTTGCTACTCCTTGGCTCCTTCTTACTGCTGTCTTTCAGCCACACCCCTGATCTCTTGGTAGGAAAGCTCTACACATACCCTTCTCGGACAAGGGCACAAAATTTTAAACCACGAAAGCCCCCCCCCCCCCCCCTCCCCGGGGTCTTCTGTGAGCGACAGCGAAACGCCTCACCGCTACACCACAGGCGCCGGTAACGCTTCTAGCTGTCCAGAAAGAGAAAAAAAGATGCAAACGTCGCACGAAGCTATACCTTTGTCTCGTCTTTCACATTCTTTACGTGATATTCTGCGGTGACTCAGCGATATATTTTTGCTTCAGAAACAGCAACAACCAATTGAAAGCCAATTTTCTCTGCTGTTTGGAAAAAGAATGAGCAAAATTGTACAGGTTTAACGTCCCTCGCAAAACTGCATGGTTAGTCAAGAGGCAGGGCCTCTAAATCAAAGGTCCGTATTAGAGAGGGACGAACAAAAACGGAAATTCGGGTTTTTAAAAAAGTTTTCATAAGCATTTTACGGCACCTGCAACACAATAAGGTCTTATAAGGGCCGAAGATTAGAAGTGTTACAAGAGAGTAACCAACACAAAAAAGAAGGAGGAGAGATAACGACGATAGATGTTTGATAGGAGAAAGAAGCCCCCTTGTATGTCTACTGTTAAAGATTGCCTATACTGCATACAACTGTGCCTTGGCCTAACGTTCTTATTGTGTTTTCATTTTCATTATTTTCAATTCCTGCAGTATAGGTAGATCTATCTGTTATTGGTATGACTAAAGTTGTCGTAACTCTAGTTCTAGATCTAGATCTCAGTGTTGCTAGGCATCTACTTTCTAAATCACTGTCGGTGTCACTGGCACTTACTTCAGAGTTAGGTTGTTTTTTTTTTACCTTTTTTATCAAGGACTCAGCCTGCCAATAGACCCCTCTCTGCGACGACGTGGCATTTTGAGATATTACAGCGAAAATAAAACTCATGAAAAAAAGGAAGTAAGAAAAAATGAAAGCTTGTAAATGGAAGTCTCACATATTTACAATGGCGTCTAAGAAGACGGACATTCCTAAGATTAGATCTAGATCTAGATCTAAACGAAATTAACGAAAAACTGAAATTCAAACTACAGTGACTTCAGACTCTTAAATAAAGCTGTGCATACTTTAACTGATTCTGAACCATCATTTTTTTTTTTTTTTTAAAGTTAAGTTTTAGGTGGCCAAAGTGACGAACTTTCACAAATATAAAGATTAATCCTCCAGGCTTATTCCACTTTCGTGGTTAAACACGCCAGAATTTGAAAGATGAGGAAACAGTGCGCACGGCTTGTGAACGGAACCCTCACTTGTTTGCAGTGGCGTCTAAGAAGACGAACTTTCCCAAGATTAGATCTAAACGAAACTAATGAAAAACCGAAAATGAAATTACGGTGACTTCAGACTCTTCAATAAAACTGTGCACTCTTTAAATGATTCTGAACCACTATTAATTTGTTCAAATTCGAAAGTTAAGTGGTTGTGAAGCTTTAGGCAGCCAACGTGATGAACTTTCACAAATACAGTACACTAGCTGGGCTCCCTTTCTGTGAAAGAGATGATAGGTGCATTAACATCAACTTGAAAGTCATTGGCCTACTATATTCACACTCTACTGGAATGGAGCAATAAATCTTGAGAGATGCAAAAAAATTAGAAGGTCTAGATCTATACTCTCAAAACAAAATGCACCTCGCGAAATATCACTTCCGGCACTTCCGCTGTGGAGGACAGCTACGCAGATTTGTTTCGTTTGTCAGTGGAATAATCACAAAGGCCACAGAAAGACGGGAACTTTTTGTCAAATATAATTGTCTAAATTCAGGAAATGAATAAAACAAAAATCGGGCTCCGTCATGGGAACCTATATATCCTTTTGCGGGTGGTTGCCAACTTTCAACTCTGTAGGTGTCGTAGTTTTATGGGAAAAGTGACAAATGTGTTTCCTGGTTGCCAAATATTATAACAGATACAGACATAGATTGCTATTTCCACACTATTATTATTATTATTATTATTATTATTATTATTATTATTATTATTATTATTATTT